ATAATGAATATGGTTTCGAATATCTGTTGTTTCATTGATCTCGTCAGCGTTAAGCCTGAAAATGTCTAGATACCGTATTTACTCGAGTAAGGGCCGCACTGTTTATGAAGAAGACCTGAGGGTTCGCTTTTCCGCAAAGCACGCGGATTGCCAATCACCGCGATGGACAGCATGATTCCAGCTGTTTACAGGACAGTGATAACGTCTTAGCGCGAAGATAACATCTGTGAAGGTTGCATTTGTATGGAGACTCGTTTTCTTGATCTTGTTATTCACTATGTTATTTATGCACAATGCGATGATTGGATGTATATGTGCTTTGCGGGAGAGTAGACACAAGGGCCTTGTTCTTAAATAGTGCGGCTATTACTCGAGTAAATACGGTATTTTTTTTATAAGACGAAGTTAAACTAATGTTACACAAGAGTAATATTATTACGGACATTGTAATAATGTTTTTAATGAAACTCGTTGTTTAAACAAATATTTCTTCAAAAATAGACAATATATTAAAAGAAGGATATAGGATACCACTGTTATGGAAGTCGGACTGTTTTCGATGTTTGGCAGGGTAATGGAAAATTTACCGGACTTCAGATTTGATGAACGCTCGCGGAATCGGTACGTTTGATTCACTCTGAAGGACGGCGTGTAACAATTAGTGAAGCCTTTCGTCGCATGATGATACGAGACAGTGTGCAGAGGATGGTACAAGCGAAAGCAGCGATGCCGGCGTAGCGGAAGACAGCGCGCCCTCCGTACTTTTCAAATCCGGTACCTCCAAGAAGATTCCCCAACGCCGCACCTGGAAGAAAAAAAGAAAAAAAAAAAAAAAAAAAAAAAAAAAAAACAAACGACGTATTTATGATAATGTAGTGCACAAAGAATTCCGAAAAAAAAAAAAAAGGGGGGGGGGGGAGGGGGTGTGTCTGCAGCCAAGAAACTTCGTGTCACTTGAAGATTGTGCTGTGTCTATACGTTCAGACAGCAGGAAGTCGGCCAGCCCTAATGGGCGTGTTTCTGCTGTAGATAAGAGAGTTAGCCAATGCAGAACAACTGCCATACTGGGGTCTTTAATGCGGAGCGTTATTTCGTCTGGTTCTTGCACAGGGGGTAGACCTCAAGGCATCTAGCAGTAAGGTCTACCCACTATTCTTTATCAGAGCCAATCAAAGCTCGGCGTCGTTCTGACGTCACCGCAACTCCTGCGCAAGAAGCAGAAGAACTTGCTCTCCGCATAAGCCGCAGTCACACCGCCCATACGTTACAGACGCATTGCAGCCGCAGTGCATGGGCGCCGCCATAACCGACCTTCGATTGTTGTTTCCTCTTATTACGTTTACTTCACTTCATCGGCACTACAGCAAGGCGTGTTATTGCCATTTTAGATTCTACAATGTACTTCTCCCCAGCATTGACCGTTGTGGAAGCTCGTCAACGCCCGCTTCACTCACTCGGCATTGGGGTAAGACAAGATAAGCTCAGCAATCCGGAACGCAAGTTCGTCTGCTTCTTTTGCAGGTGTTGTAGTGACGTCAGAAAGACGCCGAGCATGATTGACTCTGACTGAAAGATAGTGGGTGTAGACCAGTGTTGCGGAGTTTCCACTCCGGACTTGGAATGATTCCGGAATCATTCCGCATTTTCGCGACCCCGGAATGGAATGGGAATGGAATGGCGGCAACGTTCTGGGGAATGGAATGGGAATGGAATTAGGTACCTTTTGCCCGGAATGGAATGGGCCAAATTCTTTATTTTATTTCATTTTCTTTTTCCTTCTTTTTTTTTTTTTTTTTTGGGGGGGGGGGGGGGGGGGCGGGTACGTTCAGCTAAACCGAGCCAGTCAGCGAGTCAGTTGCTCAGAAATAAAATGAGCGGGAAACTGCTAGCACGCGTGGATCCATAACAGACCTATATGCAAAAGAATGCAATAATAATTAAAAAAAAAAACAAGCGTCAGATCAAAGATTAGAGGGGAAGAGGGGTGGCGATGGCGCCTTTCACGGACGGGCAGGCACGGGCTTCACTGGTGTTACACGAGAGGGAGAGCGAAACAAGAAATTAAGCACCAATCGAAAGAAACGAAGGGAGCGGCAAAGAAACCGCCATGCACGGCCCCTCATCGTCCTTCTTGTCTTTTTTTTTTTTTGCGACGGCATGGAGATGCAATGGCACGCACAGACTGGGAGCGGGGGGGGGGGGGGGGGGGGGGGTTAGGGGGGGTGCGACTCATAACTCGCAGAGCTCTGATAATTCGTTGACTCGCAGGCCTTCGAAAGATGATCAGTTATTGTTTTCTCATAGTTCGAGGAGCGTTGATTAGCAGGTGGCCAACCCTGCTGCCTTCCACGTTCATTCGCGCGCACTCCTTTGAAGTGCGAAATCTGGGTTTGCTTCGGCATTAAAACAAAACGAGATTCACTTCTCTCTTCTCTTGCGCTTTGCTCCGCCGCTTGCGTTTTTATACTGCATTTTTACGTGCAAGTGCGCCTGTTACTTGGTCTTTATAGGATGCTTGTTTTCTGTGTTATATGTTTTACATTCAAGTGGATTAGGGTTAAAAGCAAGCTAGTGGATGCCCGCTCATTTCCTTTGACTTTAGTCTCTGCATACCTTGTTTCACCTTGCGATGGTCCACTGTGGACGCTTCGAGTCACCCCAGGCAATCTTGCACCTTGAGCTTAGTAAGATCAGTGCTTTTTTGAGGCTTTTAGCATTTGTTTGCAAATGTTTATGCATTTGATAATGTCAGCTTATGCTGCTTATGCCGGAAATATTGCACAATGTAGCTGTCAAGTGCCAATTTTTACGTTTAGGAATTAGAGGAATGGAATGGAACGATTCAGACATTCCAGCAGTGGGAATGGGCCCAGTGTCCCCATTCCTAGGAGTTGAAAGGAATTGAATTCTCGAAAACTCCAATTCCCGGAATGGAATTGGAATGGAATGGGGGTGCCCATTCCGCAACACCGGTGTAGACCTCGAAGCAAGCTGCCTCAAGGTCTATACCCCCTATCCTTCGATCGGATCCAACCAGAGTTCGGCATTCTGACGTCATCACAACCCTTGCAGTAGAGGCAGACGAGCTTGCGCTCCGCATAGCGGCTGTGATCCGGCGCGTGTGCAAAGAAATACGGAAGACACGGCGTTCACTGCGGACATGATGACAAAATTATCTACGGAGACACGCCTTAAGCATATTCGAAGCATGTTTACTTCATACACACATATGCTTGAAACATGTCTAAATAATGTGTCTGTATGTTCAACGTTACTGGACCGTCGTACAAAGAAGAAACACGCCTCGGACAGTGCCGCTTTGTATGATGTATTAGCGGTACGAGCGCGGCTTTAACGTGCGTCACACAGTAGTGAAACACGATTGCACGCCGGTACCATGCTTAGTCAGCAGCTAGATATGTACAGATGTCTTCGGAAGAAACGAAAAAAAAAATCCCGCGTGCGTTTTGGCCCGCCTGCTATGTGTCACACGAACCCATGATTGCGCAAGTTGTAGCTGAAGGGTGATTACAACAAATCGAACAAAGGACGCAAGGAAGGGGGGGGGGGGGGGGTCGACATTTATTAAATTACTGTATAGTTTTATACGTAATTGCCTAATGTAAAATATAAACGAATTCATAAATATGTTTTGCCAGGAAAAAAAATCCTGGACAAAACAAGTCGTAGATCTTGAAGTGGTGGGTGCCCGCGCCTTAAAGGTACACTGACACCCCCCAAAAATTGTTTATTTTTTTGTTGCTATTCGATTCATTATGGTGTCAAAAGACTACCCATTCAATACTTTGCTACAGCGTCACGTATATTTTTAATGAAGTCAAAAAACGCAACTGCTCGAAACTGAAACAAAAGCTGAACTGGGGAGGAAGACGGAATATAGAATATAGTAGAAAGTTACCGGCAGTCACGTGACTGTGCAGCTTTTTTTTTTTCAATCAACGTATTTGCACCGTTTTAGAAGCCCTCAAAAATGGGTGTCTTATATTCAGTCTATTTTTTGTACTGAGTGTCTGCCTTCGGTGATCCACGACTTTATCTTTGATGGTTGCGTTTAACCACAGAAAACGGCTCGTGACCACGGAAAAGAGGGTGAGAGCGACTCAAACGGCCAGTTCTTGATCGGCGGTTTGCGGGCGAAAAGAAAAACAAATTTAGAGACGTAAATTGTGTACTGGGTAGTTGGGCTGTCATGTGTCATGTACAAATGAAACCATTGGGGAGCATAAATACCCTGTCAGTCTTGCGAAAGCTCGTGCAGCAGAATTCAGAGATTCTGGGCTTAATCCTCACATCTGCCCCTCCCAATCTGGATGAGGATCGTAGCGTCGTACGGTCGTGTAGCACTGCGGCGTAATGCGTGTTCGAGGCCCCCCGGCAGATATTGCATTAGATACATTTCCAATTTACAGCGCGTAAACTACGCAGCTATACTCTGGCTTCATTGTTAAATACTAAAATAGCAGACCAAGGCCAGCCTGTGATATTAGGAAGACACTTGTCTGACATTTTATTATTTATTTATGTAACTCACTTTAATTTATGTTTATATTTTTGCTACTGCGTATTGCTTTGAAGATTTTGACTTCTCTTCATCTCTCTCAAAAGTATTTATTTTTATTTATTTATCTTTCTTTTTTTCGCAAGAAGCAGCAGATCGGCCTTATCTTACGCCACTTTTGGCATTATAGAACCTGTTTTACCACTTCGCCTTTCAATAAATTATTTTATTTTAGGCAAATGTGGAAGCGCCGTCTTTGCTAATTTCTCTACTATTGTAGTTCCGCTCCCTTCGCTATCTGATGACGAAGCCCTGTACACGAAAATATACTCTAATCCCGGGACAGACGGACGAGAAGGGGATCACAGCATACCATAATATAATAGATAGCTTCTAAACTTTTTTCAAAATTGTGACAATGCAGTACTTTCTGATTATGTTGCGCTGGCGGCGAATGCTTGTGTGGCATGAACTGTGAAGGTCACAAAATAAAGCACTCACCAACGCCTTCGATGCCTAGAACACTCAGGATGCACATCACAGAGGCGGTTGTTCCAGGCGGAGCAGCCTCTTTGGCGAACACGGTGATTGAGGAGATCGCCAAGGAAAAAGCGGCCCCACTGGGGATGGCAGTGAGGAGCGTGTACCACGGATCGCGAACAAACGAGAATCCAACGTGCCCCACCGCATGTAAGGCAAACGCCAGTGAACATACCGGAAAATAGCCCATCTTCTTCAGGAGTGGTCCGGACAGAAAAAACATAGGTAATTCTACGAAATCGCCCACCGCTCTGTAGAGCCCAACGATTAGCTTGGGTGCCGCTATGTCTTCCAGTAACCACGTGCTATAGGATGAGGTTATCGTGTACAATGCTCCGAGAAGACACGCCCACAGGGCAAACACCGCCACGTGCAGGCGTCCAAAGACCGACCCCACGTCCTTCAGGAAAGTAGAAGGAGCCTTGGTCATCGTTAGTCTCGGAATGCAGCAGAGTAGAAGCATGTCTAACAGAAGGAAAGCAGCGAAGAGGATGAGACACGGAGTGTAGCCGGAACGACCCTCCGTCAACCTGTTTGCTTCGTCTATGAAGAATCCCAGAAGAGGACTGCAGACCCCGTAGCCCAAGGTGCCCCAAAGTCGCTGGCGTCCGTAGGACTTGGCTCTATCGCCCAATAGTTCACAAATCGCAGCATCGGATGTTGTGTACGCTGCCCCAGAAGCCAGAGATGCTAGAACCACAGACACCGCGTAAAGGTAGACCGCAAGCGACCTGGGCGAGCGTTCATGGCACGGGCAGGTGAAATCACAGCTTCCTTCCCGGTCGCGGCCTGTCTGATTCCATAGTGTCTTGCAGACCTCGGAGGTAGTGTTGTCGAGGCTGAACTCTGCCTCAATCTTGAACAAGGCGGCATCTGGCATGCTTCGCCAGCAAGAAAGGTTGCAGTTTAGTGATTGTTCAATGCAGCTCGAAGATGCTTTCAGGTGTGTTACTTTTCCTCCAGAGCATGACAGCATTCCTGTGAGATATATTTCCCCTATTGGAATGTACTGACTTGAAAATGCAACTCCATAGAATAATAGAGCGGTCGTTTGCAAAGCTAACAACACAGCGGTGGCGTTTTGGGTTCTATCAATAATGAAGCCGCAGAGAGGCGTGAAGAGTATGACAGCCAGAGGAATTAAGGTGAAGATGTATGCCACGGTCGTCTCAGCAATTCCATTACCACGACCCACAGCCGAAGCGTACGGTTGCACACAGGCCATCGCTGTAGTAAGAAAGAAAAGTTAACGTGCATGAATATTCTGAATCCGGTCTCTCTTTCGTTTTAGGCCTGGACGAACATATATAATAAATGTATATTCACACGCATGTGCATCAAAAACGACGAGCGTTCAGCCACCGATCCTAGTTTCCACTGCTGCCGCGGATCGGCGCTCTCAACTCGAATATGGTGGGTGGGTTGCTTAAAAATGTCACAACTATGACGCCTGGAACGCGTCTCCGACTGGTGTTTTTACCGCGTCCAAAAAAGGTGGTCCCTCGATATTCCCCTTATGACGTCCTAGATGTGTCACGTTGTCGCGGCAGCGATCCTGGTGGTGTCCCACGGCAGACGCCGGATCTGCCGTGGGTCACTTTCCAACTTGAAAGTTTGCGGAATCTGTAACAGCCAGGAGTGGGAACGCCGAGGCGACGCGGCACTCGCGTTTGCTCCTACATTTTGCCGAGACTTCTACGCTCAACCACCAGGGTCGCGACATCCGACAGCTTGACACGCCGGCTTCAGTGACGTCATTTGATGGTATTTCGTGAACACTTTTGATGTGTGGGCAGGATAGGACTCTAAACAAAAATTGTTGCAGAAATTGGCACTAAACGGGAAATAGTTATCTTGGGAGACATGAATGCACACTTTGACGGATATTCAGATTCTACAGGGAAGATGCTACAAGAATTTTGCGATGCTCTTAATCTAGTCCTTGTTACGCGAAAGCAAAATGCGACGGACCAATAACGCGGGAGAGGAGCAATTAACACTCAACAACTGATTACATGTCTAATGTCTAGCGAATTTTATAACAAATTTGCACACATGGAAATCGATGAGGAAGGCACGAAAAATTTATGATTTATCATAAGCGACTTAAAATAAAGTATGGTGCAGCAGAACCAGAGAAACAAATTCTGGAACGAGAAAGTATAAATACAAAACTTGAAAGTATAAAACAGAGAGGACGAGGACGGGAACAGGACAATATGTCCTGTTCCCGCCCTGGTCCTCTCTGTTTTATATTTTCAAGTTTTGTATCTATTAACCAACACGCTCGTTTTCAATTGAGAAAGTATACTAACCGTAAACGATGCCCAGTACAAGAAGTATCGGAACGAATTGAGGCTATAGTATCCAGAAAACTGGGAAAAGAATGGACATATGACGATTTAGTAAACACCTTTAAAACAGGGTTAGAGAAGTTCAAAATCAAACAAAGCGGAAGACGGAGAAGAAAACAAACACCATAAAGCAGGTGGGACAGTGAAGTTAAGGCGGCCATATATCAGGGCGACAAGAGGCCTCAGGGGAACACAGGTGGGCGAAGAAAATGGGGGACAGCCGCTGAGATAGCATCGAAATGGAAAACGTTTAAGAAAATAGAAGGAGAAGCATCTGCTCTTATCCAGGCCAAGATCGGTAGAGCTGGAGTGCAGTGAATGATGGAAGTAAATCAAAATGATAGGAATGCAGCAGAAGGGTTCTGGGAGCACATTTTGCAACAGGTATACACAAATTATATGGTGGTTATTATAACATGGGAAGCAGAAATTACAAAACCGGCAGAAAAAAAAAGAGGACTCGGGCAGGGTTGTCCCCTATCACCTCTACTTTTTATGGTAATACTTGAGTTGAACGGAAACGAGATGAGAAGAGTGCAATTTAGGTTTTTACCTGCCATACATGGATAGAGGGTGAAAAGTAAACAAAGTTATACCAGGAATGTTCTACACAGACGACATACTGTTAGCAGATAGCCGGGATAGGTTACAGGAGCTGATTAAGATCTGCGGAGAGGAAGGAGACTGTCTGGACCTGATATTCAGCAGCGACAAGTCGGATATAAGAGTTTATAACAATGAGAAGGGGGACCCGCTTAAAATTCAAGTCGGTTTAGTAAGACATGTAGAGAAGTATAAATACCTAGGACTATGGCTGGATGGGAGAAAACAATACTTAAAAGAACAGAAAACAAATATGCTAAAGAAAGGACAAAGGAATGCTGCAATTATGAAGCATATGGCAATATGGAATTGCGATAGATATTAACTTGTTAGAGGAATATAGAAAGGAGCAATTTACCGGGGTTCTCTTTTGGCAATGCGATATTATGCAAGAAATCTGATGTCCAGACGAGCTTAGAGGTGCGACCGAGGAGCGTGGGCAGACTGGCACTGGGGGGGGGGGGGGGGGGGTGCATGGGAATACGCCAAATGGAGGAGTGCACGGAGACATGGGCTGGGCATCTTTCGAGGCTAGAGAGGCGATCAGAAAGTTGAAATTTGAACAAAGGCTGGACACGTTTGAGAATATACGATGGGCGAGAAAGGTATATAAGCATTTGTTCATGAACAGTTTGAACACTAAAGGGACTAACCGAACCCGAAAACTAAAATTTAAATACCAACAGCCAAGTGCGGGTGCGGAACAGACTACCTATGTGAAAAAAAAAGTAAAAGAAGCCGAGAGAAAGATGAGGGAGGAAAGTGTGCAGGGAAAATCAGCTTTAAAGGGCTTGTCCGGTCAAATTTTGTATTCGAGAAAACAATTGAATATCGTTGTTATTGCCTCGAGACGCATCGTACGTGCAATATCTGAATTTTATATGCCCCTCTGCGTGAGTAATTGAATTTATACTGCTTAAATCGCATTCTAGCGTAAACGCTGCTTTCGTTGGCAACATTGAAGCTCTGATGTCACAAAACACAAAGCAAGCATTTGTGTCTCGTCGTTCGCCTGCGATGTGAACGGCTCAGCGTGCTTCGTTTTTGTTGTTTTGCTCGACTTGTTTCGCGGTTGGTTGCCACAACCACCGGGCAGCATATGCAGCCAAGACATGACGTTCCACTCTTTTCCGCGAGACGTACAGTGACGAGCAAAGTAAATCGTCGCCGTGCGTAGAGACTAGGTTCCCGTCAAGATCGAGATCCCGTTTAGGCAGCAATCATCTCGCAGAAGACAGCTACGAGCTGAGCTCTAAGCGGACGAAAGGCTCGTAAGGTGAGGCGTGACGTTGTGCCAACGATATTAAACTACGTCCGTCCGCTCCTCGCCCAAATCGGGTCAATCAATTTGATTATGCAGCGAAACCGAAACCAGCAGCTAGGCCATCTGGAAACGATACCAGAAGTCGTATTTAGCACGCGTGAAGCCCGATTCTGTTTGACCCGCATGTAAAAATGGAGCGTGACTACGATTCACCAAGCTCGTCCAAGTCAAGTGACGACACGCATTTGAACGATTCGCCGATTGCCTTCGACCCGCGGACGTCGCCTCTGAGGGAACGATCCGCAGCCTCATCACCGCTCCAGCGGATCCGCCGACATGTGTACCCTGATGCCGCTTCAGAAGCGAAATCTGCATCCTTTGATTTGCAAGCGCCCCTAGTTCGATCGGTAGCCGTCGCAGTTGTGTTTGCGCGAAACGGCATACGTTTGCTCGAAGCTTATGGCTGTTTGCGAGTAATATGCTGCTAAAAGGCGTGACTCTTTTTACACATGTTTGGGAACTGCATTAAAAGAACCGTATTTCAGTAGAACACAGCCTAGGAGACTATATAATTCGAAACAAAATGCAAGACATCCATCGACCAACGCTTCTTATCCCGACCATCCGACAAACCTTTGCGTTTTGTGACGTCACGCAGCACCTACGGATGAAAGCCATTGACACTGGCGAAATTCGGGGTGCAGTTTCGTACCTACGCTCATGAAAGGTTTAATTAACAACGGAAGGTTATATATCAAATTAAAAATTACGTTTGTCTACATGAAGGCTTCCTCGACGTAACGAGTGCAAAAACTTAAGTACCTCCGGTTTCGACCGGACAATCCCTTTAACTATGTATAGGAGAAGAAAACAGGAAATAAGGAAGGAACATTGGTATGATAATTCACGGGAGAGCTCGTTGTTATTCGAGGCTAGAACAGGAGTATTGAGGACTAAGACATATAGGACAAATTATGAGGAAATCAATTCACGGTGTGCTGTATGCCAAGGGGAAGACGAGACAATGGAAATGTGGTGTTGAGGTGAAGAGGGCTTGCTCCCGCCCTCCCGGAAGGGGCGACGGATTTGGCCGGAGCGGTGGGGTTTGCAGACGAGAATGAAAGAATGAACGATAAGTGCATTTTTATTACAAAAAGGAGATTGGAAGACTGGTGGAAATTGTCTAAGGAGAATTGGATGACGCACAACTAGCTGACACAACTGGGGAATGGCGGGAAAGAGGAACATTAGGACTCCCTCCCGCGTGGTTCCGGCCCAACATATCGACCCTGTCTCCAGGTGGGCCCAGTGCCGGGGTAACGCCGACTAGGTTTGCCGAGAGCAAAATTGGCAACTCCCTCGCCGGGGGAAGAGGCGGTATGTGAAGTTTTTTTTTTTTTTTTTTTTTTGTTTTTTTGTTCGATTTTCCGAAGGTCATTCTGGTCCCTGGTGATACCTCACACCGCCTGGTGATAGTTCCGAAATTGCAGAGGGTAAGCAAATTGGAGAAGGAAAGAAATTATACTTTCGGTTCTTAACTTCTAGGCTAGGTGGCACAAGCTACCGCCCGATATAAGCACAACCGTTAGCATTTATCCATACAAACCAGTCTGAAACGCGCTGCAGGTGCCGTAGTCATTACAACGTGCACCCAGAGCTCCAAGAAAAGAGGGAAACGTTACGCGATGCTAAATAACTGATCAACAAAAATAGCAGCAAGTACACAATCTGTAACTTCGATATGGTGCGTTGTTGGCCTCTTTCAGACTTCTGTTAAAATGCGAGTCACGAAGTGCAGTTACGTGTTCCAGTTGTATTTTTTCAGGACTGTATACACAAGTTTGATGTCATTAAGGAGCGGCCGCTTGCTCTGTGCAAGGTAAGCTGTTACGCGGAACACCAGTTGAACGCGTTAGTGTGGTGATTAAGGTACTCACCGGCAAGGTAGAAAAAGTAGTGGGCTTTCAGCGGCAGAAGACGCCTATCCACTGAAGATGGGTGGAA